CCTGAAATAAATAAATAAATGATGGTTCTGGCAGGTTTGCAAGTGTGACTCATTTGCTTACGGAAGACTTAGGCTGATCTCAATAGATACAAAGAGATAATTGTCAGTAATGTTGTTACTCTTATTGGTGCTAGGGCCTTTTTCACACTAGCAATTTATAATGGTAAATGTGCGGTATAGTGGGTAATAATAACAAGAACAAGCATGGAACTATAACTACATAGCTGCTAAGAAGTCATGAAAGATAGTGTGCACAAGAGTAATCCACAAAAACTTTCATACGTCGAGCACTGTCCCATAACATTTGCATCTGCATGAAAATGTTCCAATGTGACCAATTTAGGGGAAGCCTATTATAAACTGCTATATTTGTTTGAGGCCATAAGGAAAAAGGGACTTGTATCTGAGCTTAAAATTTCCAATTTTTAAAACAACTGTAAAACAACAAAAATGCATACACATATCTGATATCATGCACTCATATTTATTGTTATTATATATAAAAATGGCATGTCTAACAGCTACAGGTAATGTATGTGTTTCCTTCCATGGTTGAGACAATTCGTTTTCCATGACTGACAAGTTGTATAGAGATTCATTGGGTGCTCATGTAGTTCTTATCCTACATGCACACAATACATTTACATAGAATGTAGTCCCAGAACTTAATAAAATGGAAGTAGTCTTGTTTAAATACATGTTAAATTGGGTCAGGAGCTGGGCAGATTTAAGGCAGAGATTTGAGTAGTAGGGAAGTCCTTGACTAGCTTTCTTTGCAGAATTCTTCCTGTGATGTTTCATCAATCTTCTTAGCCATGCCAAAACCTTCTTCTGTAATACACCTGGTTGGCCTTAGGCCTGTTCGTATTAACCTCATCAACGTATCGTCCATATATAGCTAAGTGCGTTGAGTGTAATAAAACCCAATTATTTACTTTTCCACCATGTGCCTAGAGTCCCATAATGGGTTTTTTTGCATTGATATCATTAATGTTTTAACTTCTAATAATATTTATATTTTTATATATATATAATATATATATATATATATATATATATATACATACATACAGTATATATATGTGTGTGTGAGAGTATATATTTATATAGTAGATCTAGTTGAGTTCCATATTTTCTGCCTTTTTCACTGGCACAAATCAATTTTGCTTTCACGTAAGGATCCCACGCCATGTGTTACAGGTAAAAATTATGCTCTTTTGGCCTGTATCCAGATCATGGATGAATGAAGTTTCTAATACTGTAAATCACAGCAAGCATATGTTATAACTCTCAGCAACATTAAGTAGCTTATGATTTATTATTACAATTATCAGATTGCTCCTCAGGCAGAACTCCTGTGTCCATGAGACCATCACGGCTGAAATGATATCCATGTGTGTGCCATTAGTTGTCACACAGAGTTCAGTGGGTGAAGCTCCCTCGAGTATTTTGCTTCCCCAACCCACCTTTTAACCATCTTTTACTGCTTGTGCCTGTCATTTCTTCACTGTGGCTGATGTTTGTGGATATTGGTTTCTGTGAATGTATCAATTAATCATTCTGTTCTGGATATTTTTGTTCTCATCCTTAGTCATCCTAAGATAAATATTTTTCCACGCAAAGCAACAATATTAGCAACTGTCAGTTGGTTGTATATCTATATTTTGCTGATTGGGTTTTTGCACCAAATATTTTTGCTCATTTGCTTTATTACACTATTTATTTATTCTTTTTTACAAATTTGTATATAGCACCAACAATTTACACAATGTTTTTATATGTTGTACATACCCATCAAACCTGCCCCCTAGGAGCTTACAATCTAGGTAACCTACCTCACATACACATACTAGCACCAACATGGACAAGGGCCAATTATTCTACCAGCATGTCTTTGGTGTGGGAGGAAACTGGAGTACCGGAGAACAGGGAGACCGTGCAAACTCCTTGCAAGTAGTGTCCTTTTTAAGATTCGATCCAAGGACCCTAGTGCTACCAGGCAGAAATAGTAATCTACTAAGAACATTACTGGATTTATATCACTGGAGAATTTAGGCATGATAACTTAACTTATTCAAGCACCATTTTTAGGAATTAACCCCTTCAAAGTGGATTTGGTCCACTTTGTGTGGAGCTGGCCAACTCCCCCTCTGGCTTTCCACAGCTTTTCTATCACCTGGTGGGATTTCCCTCTATGTTTAAGCTGTTTAAGCTGGACGATTACTGGCTAAAGGCTTTGCTGAAAGCTAAGCTACTATTGTTGTCACATGCCATAGAAACATATTGCTAACTTGACTTGAATACCTGGTGGGTATCACATTCTGTTTGGGGTTGCTTTTTAAAGCAAAGTTGGCAGCTCTAGGTTTGAATCCCAGCCATGAAACTACATGCCTGGAGTTTGCACGTTCTCCCTGTTCCAGCATGGGTTTCCGCCGGGTACTCTGGTTCCCTACCACACTCCAAAGACATGCTGATAGGTTAATTGGCTCCTGCCTAAAAAAATTGGCCTTAGTATGTATGAATATGAGTTAGGGACCTTAGATTGTAAGATCCTTGGGGGCGGTGACTGATGTGAATGTATAATATATATGTAAAGCACTGCATAAATTGTCAACGCTATATAAATATCTGTAATAATAATAGTCACTGTACCAAAGAGAAATTGCTTAACTATCCAGTGTCAGACTGGATCAGGTGCTTGACCACACTGTATAGTTTTTAACCACAGCAGAGAAAAGTGAGACCAGAGGTAAGCAACTAAACAGAATTACAAATCCTTTGGCATGTAAAACAGTTCACACACTTCACGTATTTCAATTTTATTTACCTGATTGGTATTATATTCAAAGCCTAAAGACATGTCATAGAAAAGCAAGCCTGGCATAATGTGGCAAGTTGAATTTCTTTTTCAGTATAAAAATGAGTTTAATATTTATCGAGAGTATCAAAAAGGTCACTGTTTTTGATAGCTTTAATCAATCCTGGCAAGGATTATCCAACACTTTTCGGGACCCAATCATTACACTAACGGAGCACAGAATATTGGTGTACCTTAGTGAATACGGTGAAGCTATTTTTACTTTGAATGCCTAATATTGTGGAAGAACAGTTTAAAAACAAGATTGTTTCTTGCACTTGATTGAATTATTCAATGAAAAAACCAAACATTCTTTTTTTTCTTATAGTAAATTGAAGATAATTGACACATTCAGGAAAAATAAATAAATAAAGAATAATCCAAAATAATTAGTACTCAGTAGTTTTCGTAGTAATTACCTAGTCTGTCAGTCACTATAGGCTGTTTCAATGGAAGTTTTAATTAAAGAATAATGAAATTGCTGTCTTATACACATTGAAATGATGTTTCCTGTGCTACTGGAAAGCATGTATTCATTTACTCAAATGTCATGTAAGGTAATCTACACTAACCTTAAATCAAGCTTTTAACTTTGGATCAAGCTCTCTGAAAGCTTGTCAAATCATCTCAGGAATCAGATCAATAAGCGGGAAATGGATTTTGTCACTGCAACATAGTTTTATCAATACTATCTAATTTGGGGTATATATGTTGGTGTCCTCTGACCTATAAGCTGTCTTTCACTGGAGAAAGAGTTGTTAGTGTACAGTATTAATAAAAGAATAATTCTGCATAGGAATCACTTGTTGTATCTACGGTGCTTTACACACTGTTACTAAAATAATGGGCGAATAGTAGGGATACACTGATATTAATATCCGTATCGGTGCCAAGATAGCAAGTAGTTTTCATGAGTACACATACTTGTGAAAATACTACCGATACCCTAACCGATACTTTGTGGTGCGAAAGATTAGCATGTGATTTGAACAGGAATGCGATTCCTGTCCAAACCGCATGCGGTTTCCTCTCCTACCGCTGACACTCAGCATTATTATTATTATACAGGATTTATATAGTGCCAACAGTTTGCTCAGTGCTTTACAATATAATAGGAGACAATACAGCAACAATACAGTTCAGTACAAGAGGGAAAGGAGGGCCCTGCTCCTTGGAGCTAGCATGAGATGCTTACAGGGAGGTTTCCTATACCACTGCTGTGTGAACTCGGGCTATGACAAGCCTTGGTTCACACAGGAGCAGTGGAGAAACCACATGTGATTTGGACAGGAATCACATTCCTGTTCAAATCGCATGCCATTTTTTGTGGTGCAATTTGTGTCCATTAACACAAATCGCACTGCAAGGTATCGGTACTCGGTATTGGCTAGTACTTGACTGAAAGTATCGGTACTCGTTGATTAAAAACGGTATCGGTGCATCCCTAACGATTAGTGCAGAACGTAGCATTAAAGTGCAAAACCATCTTCATAACCCAGAAACATACATTTATGGGCTCACACATTTACATATATTATTTTAAATCACTTTAGGCTTTTAAAATGTTTATTATCATAAGTTCTATTTGAGTATCTTTCTCTGATTCTGTTTTAAATCAGCAAACCTTTAAAATGTGTGTTAGTGTGCATTTTGTTAAATATCCAGTTGATCCTGCCAGAAATCCAGTGCTGTCCTACATCTTATCTATAATAAATCATCAGCTCTGCCCAGTTAACCTCTGTGATCTACAAAATGACCCCCTTGTTATGGAGATGAGGAGAGGGGAAGGGGTTTGGCAGTCACAACACTCCTCTGCTATAGACATGGCACAATGAGCAAGCATTTTCATCCTAGGACAGGAAGTATGTTAATGGCAGGATTACCAGGTGAAAATAAAGGAGAGAAAGCCCCCAAAAAAAGAAAACAAATGCAGCCACCACATTTAGGGACTGGTAAGCTGTAATAGAACTCATATAGATTTTTTTGCATTGTTTTTGCATTTAAAGAGCACTTTAATCAAGTTAAGGAATGGGTAACTTCAAATTAATGCTGTCCAGGAGGGAGTCAAATATCAACCAAAAATGTTGTGTAAGGGAAGAGACTTTATTATTACCTGGTCTTGAATCTTCCCTCTTGTGCAGAGTTAAAGCGGAACTCCACCCAAAAGGGGAAGTACCGCTTTAAGGACTGCTCCCCTGCTCCCCATTAAGGATTGGCACCCTTGGGGAGCGGGTACCCCAATTTGACAGGTACCCGCTCCCACTTCCAGGTCCAATCGCCTAGGCCAGGGGTCTGCAACCTTTAAGACATAAAGAGCCACTTGGACCCGTTTCCGAGAGGGAAAAAAAGACTGGGAGCCGCAAAACCATTGCAACATTTAAAACAAATCCGACACTGCATATATTGCAAAAAGCGCTCTGGTCAAGAAGGGGGTTTAAGGGCCCAGTAAGCAAAGGGTTAATTAGGGCCACAGTGTATCGTAATAATCACAATCATAGCCTTAGGTCAGTGGTGGGCAACCTTTTTTTTCAACTGAGCCAAATCTCGCCAAAACCACGATTGAAATTTATTTTGAGAGCCACATTTTTAAAACTGAAAATACATCCCCCATATAGTAATTCATCCCCCATAGTAATTCATCCCCCATATAGTAATTCATCCCCCAAAGTAATTCATCCCCCATATAGTAATTCATCCCCCATATAGTAATTCATCCCCCATAGTAATTCATCCCCCATATAGTAATTCATCCCCCATAGTAATTCATCCCCCATATAGTAATTCATCCCCCATATAGCAATTCATCCCCCATTTAGTAATTCATCCCCCATTTAGTAATTCATCCCCCCTATAGTAATTCATCCCCCATATTAATTCATCCCCCATATTAAGTCCCCAAGTCCCCCCTGTGTCAATTCACTTACCTTTGCTCCGCGCGTTCCTCTCGCCGTGTTCCCGCGCCGTTCCGGTGTAGCATGAAAATCTGTCTCCTATGAGGATCTGTCCCCCTCAACGTATCTGCGCATGTGCCAGTTTCAGGCATTAGCAGCCGATCGGCGATCTCCGGCACATGCGCAGATACGTCGAGGGGGACAGATCCTCATAGGAGACAGATTTTCATGCTACACCGGTCTTCAGGGCGGACTGTGAGAGGAGCCTAGCAGGAGCTTAGCTCCGCGGGCCGGATTAAAAGGTCCGCCGGGCCGTAGTTTGCCCATTGCTGCCCTATTGCCTGTCACCTGGTGGGCAGTGTGCTCCGGAGCCGCAGCCAAGGTGAAAAAGAGCCGCAGGCGGCTCTGGAGCCGCGGGTTGCCAACACCCGGCCTAGGCGATCGGAAGCGTAAGGTGTCCTCCCTCCCTCCCTGTAGTCTTTTGGGACACGTGACAGGTCCCAGAAGACTACAGGACCATTCATGAAGTGCAGCGCTACTCACGCATGTGCAGTGGGTAGCCGGCTGTGAAGCCACAAGCTATCACAGCCGGGTGCCAATACTGAAGATGCCGGCCTCCTGGAATACAGGACGGCCGGTGAAACGAGCTGCGGGGGACACACCACGGGACCAAGGGACAGATGAGTAGCTGTTTTTTAAAAGTCAACAGCTACAGTTTTTCTAGCTGCTGACTTTTATTTTTTGATAGGTTGAGTGGAACTCTGCTTTAAGTTGTCCAACAAATGTAGATCAAAATGAGCTTGTGTGCTTGCATCTCTATTGGGACAACAGGTGAAATGTTTTGCAGGTGCTATACATTTGGAAGAATGCATTTATTGGACTAGCCTAGATTTTGAACTCTAAACACAGAGTTCAGAAACAAAGATGATTCTTCCATTATATCTCCTGGTTCCAACAGAATAACAGTCAGTGCTACTAAATATGGAGTGCTGCATACACCGCATATATTGGGGTTGATTTACGAAAACTGGAGAGTGCAAAATCTAGAGCAGCTCTACAAAGAAACCAATCAGCTTCCAGGTTTTTTGTCAAAGCTTAACTAGTTGCCGACCGCAGATAGCCGAATGACGGCTTCACTGCGGCCGGCCAGTTCTGGGTGGACGTCATATGACGTCCCCCCAGAACGCGCTCTCCTGCGCGCTCTCCTGCCCCAGGGGGCGCGCACCCGGCGATCTCCGTGATCGCTGTGTCCTACGGACACAGCTTGATCACGTGATGTGGTAAAAGGCCGATCCCAGCGGCCTTTTACCACGTGATCAGCGGTGTCCAATGACACGCTGATCACAGGGAAATGCAAGTGCCGGTTCTCGGCTGCACTTTCCTCACACTGTCAGATCGTGAGGAAAGTACTGCCGAGAACCGGCAGTTGTCACAGCGGGGATCGGCACCGATCATCAGGACACTGATGATCAGTGCCCTGATGATCGGTGACCAGCAGTGCCACCCGCAAGTTCCGCCCACCTGTGCCCAGCAGTGCGCCCACTAGCTCCGCCCACCTGTGCCCAGCAGATCACCCACCTGTGCCCAGCAGTGCACCCACCTGTGCCCAGCAGTGCACCCACCTGTGCCACTCTGCAGTGTCACACACCTGTGCCCAGAAGTGCCACCTACCTGTGCTCAGAAGTGCCACCCACCTGTGCCCACCCACCTGTGCCCACCAGTGCCACCCACCTGTGCCCACCCACCACCCACCAGTGCTGCCCACCAGTGCCACCCACCAGTGAAGCCCAGCAGTGCTGCCAGTCAGTGCCACCAATCAGTGCCCAGGGGTTGTGCCAGTCAGTGCCGCCAGTCAGTGCCCAGCAGTGATGCCAGTCATTGCCGTCTATCAGTACCCATCATCAGTGTCACCTATCAGTGCCGCCTATCAGTGCTGCATATTAGTGCCGCCTATCCGTGACACCTCATTAGTGCTGTCTATCAGTGCCGCCTATCCGTGCCACCTCATTAGTACTGCCTATCAGTGCCCTTTAGTGCTGCCTATCAGAGCCCATCAGTGCCGCCTATCAGTGCCCATCAGTGCTGCCTCATCAACGCACATCAGTGAAGGAGAAAAAATACCTGTTTGAAAAATTTTATAATAGAAACAAAGAAAATGTTTTTTTTTTTCAAATTTTTTGCAATTTTTTTATTTATAGCGCAAAAAGTAAAGCGCCCAGTGGCAATTAAATACCACCAAAAGAAAGCTCTATTTGTGAGAAAAAAATGATCAAAATTTCATATGGGTACAATGTTGCATGACCGCGCAATTGTCAATCAAAGTGCGGCAGCGCTGAAAGCTGAAAATTGGCCTGGTAAGGAAGGGGGTATAAGTGCCCGGTAGGCAAGTGGTTAATTGAACAAAGCTGAAGTTAGAAGCTAATTGGCTACCATCACTGCTGCACCAGATTTTGCATGCTCCAATCAGTTTCCAGGTTTTATTGTCAAAGCTTAATTGAACAAGCTGAAGTTGTAAGCTGATTGGCTATCATGAACAGCTGCTCCAGGTTATGCACTCTTCACTTTTAGTAAATCAACCCCATTGCTATCCTTAATAAAACAATTGCAAACATACTCTGTAACTTTGCTTTTATGATCAATTTATTTGCATTGCAGCAACAGTAGAGTAACTTTCATTTTTTTAGTTAAGCCCACACATTAAGATATGGTAGACTAATTCAATCCTAAATGAAATAATGGAAATTCCCCAGATTTTTGTGAATGTTTAATTTTCTGCCACTGGAGTGCCCTTTAGAAAAGTATGAAAGGTAAACAACAGGTGATGTAATCAGATCATGTCTGTACAGAGGAATCTGTACTGTCAAGCACCAGATGCACTATATCTGTGTTTTACTGATCAAGACCTGAGCGTGGAAATTCACAAAGCACAGTATCTACGAACATGATAGCTAATCTGTGTGTCAGAACACATTTAAGTTCTCTATGCATATTTACATACTGTACACTCATCCATCTTGGAATACATAGTTGGACAATTATAGGGAAAAGGGCAAAAACCATATCATGCAGTAACCAGGACTTGTGAAGGTCAACAGGATCCAAATATCCAAAGAAAATTGGTTAGTCAACACCAAGGGCAGATGAAAAGCCATAATTTAATTTCCAGCCATCAATACATTAATCCATGCTGTAATTCTTCAGGATAAAACAGATCACTTCTAATCTAGTGTAACTGACATATGATAAACCAATTCTAGTATTTTAAGCAAGTGTTTTCCATCCAAAGCCCAATTCTTTACTGACAGGTCTATCAGCTTAGCTATGGAACAGGCTTGACCATTGTAGGGACATTCAGTAACATTCAGTGGGCTAGGGGCTGATATGCATGATTCTTTGCTCTTTATAAGCATCGTGGAATTTACAGGATTTTTAAAGCGGTAGTAAACTGCAGGAAAAAAAGAAAAGTCCCCTGCAAGGTAATGTCTTAGAGTGTTAGTATGCATCACATACTAGCACTGTTATGTAAGACTTACCTTAAAATGAAGCCCTCCAGCGGTGTGCTGTCACCCCTGCAGAGGTTTCCATCTTCACCAGGTCTCCCTTTCCGAGTTCGCTAGCTCCGGCCGTCTGACTAGCCAAGCCACGATGACATCATGCGTGGGAGTCCCGGGCCAAGGCACAGTACTCTGAAGGAATGGCACGGGCATTCAGGTCCTTCAGAGTGCATGCACCAGCTCTAAAAAAGGGAGAATATCTCCTAAATGGTGCTCGTTTAGAGGATATTAATTTTACCTACAGCTAACCTTTATTATAAGCTTACCTGTAGTTAAAAGTTAAAACATGAGTTTACTACTACTTTAAGTAAAATAAAAGTCATGTCTCTGTTCTAAATGCCCTAATCTCTCTGTACATTAGATTTCTTTGCTGCACTTCTTCATGTTCATATAGTTTTCATGCATCAAAAACAATATGAACATTACAGAAAAACAAATCACATTGCATGTATCAATGCTTTTTGTAGTGTTCTTTTGGAGCCTTCATAACAGAGTAATTTACTTTGTGCTTTAAAGAGAACCAGTCAAAGTTGGGCATTTGTAATAATCAGAATCCCCATTTTAAAATGGTTATAATAGTGTGGCTTTACTTATTAGAGGTCAACTTCTTAACTTCCTACTATTCTATGGATTCTGTCCCTGTAAGAGTAGAAGTGTCAGGCTGTAAATTTGTCCATTCTCTTTCCAGGGCTTAGACCTGAGAAGAGACACTCGTGGAACTCATATAACAAACGTACTGTCAGAAAGAAGTCCAAACAATATGTCCTTAGTAAAATAATCAGTTCACATATTGTTGACAGACCATTTTATTAGCAATTCAGACAAGTGTCAGTTAGTACCCATGAGCTCAGGAGCAGGGGCGGACTGACCATTTGGAAACTCAGGCACTGCCCGAGGGCCCGGGGTCAGTAGGGGGCCCCATGAGATGCCCCTGGTACCTTTTCATAGGCTTTTTTGAGTTTGGCCAAGGTCACAGGGGCCCCATGATCCCCTATTGCCCGGGGGGTCCCATGAGTTGTCAGTCTGCCCCTGCTCAGAAGACCCATCAACTTCCATGAGGAGAAATTACTTTTTCAGACTGGTCTTCCTAAACTACAGGGGGATGTACAGTATCTATGTTACGCTTGTCATATGCATCTTCAATTTGAAATGTGAATGAGAAAATTCTCCTTCTTTTCCATGCGTATGAATAATGTGGCAAGAGCTATTACATAAAATTACATATGATAGTTCAAAACCACGTTGTTGACTTTAGTATGTGCTGGGATAGCATTGCAATGTCCAGGCTTGGCTCTTAAATGGTGCTAGTATATGAGCTATGTGCATTTGTGTCTCATACCCATGTGGATGTTGCTATCATCAACTTTGCCACCACCATACCCACATGGAAGAAAAATATATTTGAAATGTATTTTAAAAATATTCTTCCCAAATATATTGACAAATATTTGAAATCCTACAGTTTTGGCCCAACTCAATATATTTCAAAATATATTTCAATAAATATATATAAATATATATATACTGCATGTTTAAATGCGTTTTTATTACAAAATATATGAAAAATATTTTTAAAAATACATTTAAAATATACTGTCTATCTTTAAAAATACAAATCTACATTTTTGGAATGCATTTACAAATATATGTAAAAATGTATGTTAAAATGACTTTTTTATATGTTAAAAAAAATCTGAAGAATATATAAAAAAAAAAAATGCACTTTAACATGCAGTATGTGTGTGTATATATGTGTGTATATATATATATATATATATATATATATATATATATATATATATATATTGAATATGGCCAAAATTGTAGCATTTCAAATATATGTCAATATATTCGGGAAGAATATTTTTAAAATATACTTCAAATATATTTTTTTCCTCCATGTGGGTATGGTGGTGGCAAAGGTGATGATGGCAACATCATGCACACATAAACGAAAAGTATGTACAGAATCTATATTTGGTTATTTCCCAAGTCTGTTAGAGGTACTGTCCTGCTCAAACTATGTACATTAAAAAGGCATTTTTTAAATTGGAACATAATAGTTGATTTGTTTCGCATTTAAATTGTTAACGGTCTGATTTCAGACACTT